GGACAAGAGAGTTGTTTTTGTTTTTGTTTTTTTGTCCTTCCCACTTTTTATGGCTGCCTTAGTGGCTGATGCAACAGGAGTGCAGGGCAGGACAGAATGGAGCTAATTTTTTTTTTTTTTTCTAATTTGGGGACTATGATGTGCTGCTTACTGGGCAAAGTGCTAGGAGTAACTCTATGCAGACAGACATACCTTGTTTTATTGCACTTCGCTTTATTGTGATTTGCAGACTGTGTTTTTTGTTTTGTTTTGTTTTGTTTACAAATTAAAGATTTGTGGTAACCTTGCATCAAGCAAGTCTGTGACACCATTTTTCCAACAACATTTGTTCACTTCATGTTTGTAATGTCACATTTTGGTAATTCTTGCAATATTTCTAACTTCTTCATTATGATTGTATTTGTTAGGGGGACCTGTGATCAGTGATTGCAGCTTGCTGAAATCTCAGTTGATTGTTAGCATATTTTAGCAATACAGTATTTTTTAAATGTTTATTTAGTTGAGAGAGAGAAACAGGGAGAGACCGAGCATGAATGGGGGGGGGGGGAGGGGCAGAAAGAGAGGGAGACACAGAATCTGAAGCAGGCTCCAGGGTCCGAGCCGTCAGCACAAAGCCTGAAGTGGGGCTCAAACCCATGAGCAGTGAGATCATGACCTGAGCTGAAGTCAGAGGCTTAGCCGACTGAGCCACCCAGGTGCCCTGCGCAATACAGTATTTTAAAATGAAGGCATATGTATTGCCTCTTTAGACATAATGCTGTCATTGCACACTTACTAGACTACAGTATAGTGTGAACATAACTCTTATATACCCTAGGAAACCAAAAGATTCATCTGACTCACTTTATTGTAATATTTACTTTATTGCTGTGGCCTAGGACTGAACTAGCAATGCCTCCCGGGTGCGCCTGTATAAAAAGAAGCCAGTAATTTTGGATTTAGGGGATGCAGTGAGAAGTTTTGCGATGGGTTGACAGCTGAGCCATATCTTGAAGCATCAGAAGCTTTCTAATTATGAAAACATGAGGGAAGGACATTCTAGCCTGAGAGCACAGCCTAAGTGAAGAGTGGAAATGGCATCCACTTGAGGAATATTCTAGAAATTTGACTATAGTTGGAATATAGTTTACGGGGTATGTGTATGGAGGGGGAGGATGCAATGAAACATGAGGCCAAAAAGAGGAGGAATCCTGATAGCCATGTGGAGGATGTGCTATGTGGGGCTGAGAAGAAAGGCAGGGAGATTGTTTAGAAAGCAAGAGATGATAGGAGTCTGAACTAAGGCAGGGGGGTGAAACGTCCCTGACTGGACAGGATGGTAGAAGAGAGGAAATAAAACAGACTGGCAAGTGCACATGTTGATTGATTACATCAACAGACTTTACTGAGCACTTGCCACATGCCAATCACTGTGTGCAACTGAAAAGACGAAGATGAAGAGACAGTGTCCCTGGTCTTGGGGGCTTACCACCAATTAGCCCTCAGCCATGTCCCATATGCATGTGATGCATGAACTACAAGAGGAGGCTCTCCAATGTGGAGGCTGTTGGAGGAGGTGGAGGGACATTTAACTTAGGTCTTTTTCTTTTAACTTTATTTATTTGTTTTGAGAGAGAAAGAGAGAGCAGCAGAGAGAGAGAGAGAGAGAGAGACAGAAAATCCCAAGCAGACTCTGTACTGTCAGTGCAGAACCCAATGTGGGGCTCGAACTCACAAACTGTGAGATCATGATCTGAGCCAAAATCAAGAATCAGACGTTTAACAGACTGAGTCACCCAGGTGCCCCAGGCATCCCTTACTTTAGATTTTGGTCAGAGTAACAAGATGTAAGAGAGTACACAGAAAGCAGTGTGCTAATGAATAAACAACCGATTACTATATGAGATCACATAGCTATTCTTTTCCTTCTAAATACACTTTCATCCATTTCTTTGTATTCAATGCAAGCAAAATGGCAACAGTCAAGGTTTCTTGGCTGCCTATTAATACGCAGTAATGGTCTAGAATAAGTTAACTGGATCTCGCATTTTCCCAATTTTCACTCACTAAAGCTTTCTTTTATTAGATTTAGGTATCATTAATTTCTTCATTGAGAAAATTACTCTGCAGAGGGTTGGGTGGAAGGAGGTATGCCGTTGGGCCTCGTTAGACTGTGGGATGGCATTAGAGGGTCCGATGGCTTGAACTAACCCCAGTGGAATGAGCCAAACTGAACTGGGAGGGGGTGGGAGTTATTTGAGGGGACCTGGGGATATTGTAGATACAGATGGATGATGAACAGATAGAGGCTGGATGAGAGCGAGAGAGGCATTCCTGGTACAGATGAAGCCACAGAAGGGCATGAGATGGAACTGAAGGGGACGTACAGAGCCTCTCGAAATCTTGATCCTGCATTTCCCCCCACGTGTGCTCTCATGACCTACACTGGGAGTGCCAGACTTTCTTCCTCTGGGAAAGAAAGAGAGAGTGATTATGGGGGCCATCTCAGCAAGTCTGAAATCGGTAGGGCAGGCAGTCGGGAACAGAAGATCGTGGGCAGGCTTAAATCCACAAACAAGAGCTGAAGCTGTCACCCACCGGTAGACAGGAAGGGGACATCAGGAGCAGGATAGAACTCCATAGGCGCTGGCCAGAGCTGTGGTCCACAGGGGGACCTTCTTCTCGCTGAGCCCACATGTTCTGTGAAGACATGACGTGTGGGGCATGTATGTGGTAGGAGTGGGGGGAAACCCTGGACCAGACATCAGGAGACCTGGGCTTGGACCACCTCCAGTTTCCTGTAGCATTAATGGTAGATTCAATGGTAGATCCTTTCAACAAAGTTTGTAAGTCCGAGAATTCTGTATAACTTGAACTTAGGTATTTTTTCTCTGTCTGAAAGTGCCAGGGCCCCTCTGAAGGACAGCTGATATTTTTGAGAATAGTCACTGTAGAAGGAGAGAAAGCAAAATTTCAAGGTTCATGAGTTGAGGCTTATCCATAGACATGGTCCTGGGAGTCAGGGAGTTGTCAGGGGGAAGAAAGTAGAGGAGCAGGGTCAGAACTAGGATGAGGCTGTATTTGAATCACCATGGTAAAAATAGAGATCCCAGGGCCTTCGTGCAGAGGGGTCATGCTTCAGCTGGTTTTCAGATGGCACACCCTATGGCACAAAATTTAAGGAGGCATCACTCTTAGAGTAGTCAGGTACTAACACTCCACTTGCTAGTGACTACCTCCTTACACTTTGCACCGTAGGCTCCTGCTGCCTTACCCTGGTGGTGGTATTCTGTCCAAACCAGGGAAACAGCCAGGGCCCTCAGAATAGCTCATCTGGGATGGAAGGAGTAGCAGAGAGAAAGAGAAGGGAGCCTTCTTAGGTAGCAGAGCAGAGAAGGATGGCCAGGAAGAGGCCGGTCTCAGTGTAATCTAAAACCCACGCTTTTTTTTTTCAGTTTTATGGAGGCTTATGATTGATAAACTTGTGATTGTAAAATTAAAGTGTGCATCTTAATGATGTTGATGTCTATGTGCATTATGAAAGGGTTCCTCTCATCGAGTTTATTAACACATCTATCACCTGTTTTAGACATATTTGTTTACTTACTTGTAGACATATTTGTTTACTTACTTTTTGGTGAGAACATTTAAGTTATATACTCTTAGCAAAATCTAATCATACGTTGCAGTGTTATAAACTACAGTCACCGTTTTATAACTTACATGAGTTGTAAGGTGAACAGGATGCTCAGGCCTTCCATGGAAGGAACTTGGAAGCGAGCTCCATTGCTCTGTGTGTAGCTGTAGGTTTGCTGTGTCTGTGGAAAGAAGTGAGTTCAGGAGCTTTTTGTATATCATCATCTTGAACCAGAACCCCTTTATTGATTGCTTCCCTACCCCCTGAATATGGGCCATACTTTCTTATTGTGTGTGTGTGTGTGTGTGTGTGTGTGTGTGTGCCTCACCATTTGTTGTTGGAAACTGGATTTTAAATGATATAATACATCAACTCTGGAAATCAGATTCTCCCTCTTCCCTGGTGTTTATTGTTGTTGATGTTGTTTGTTTAGTGACTTTTCTGAACGAATTCTGTAATGCCTATGTATTCTTTGTCATGTGTGGCCACTGAAGTCTCTGCTCAGTCAGCTTAGTGGTCAGCTAAAGATTGGACAGAGATTTGCTTTAGATGCCTAGAACCAATAAGTCTCTCAGTCTGTGCAGAGGCTCTAGGGGCATGTTGGGGCAGGCCTTCAACAATCAGCCAGGAAGTTTACAACTCTGCCTTAGCCTTCACTTCCTACTTTTTTAGAGCATCAAGGTTAGCCAGAGATGAAAGCTTAGGACCTTCCTGAAGTCTTTCCTAAATAAGTACACAGACCTGGGTATGTGCACATTCCTATGCATATGCATGCTTTCTAGATTCTCTGGAATATTTCAAAATCCCCTTATGGACACCTTATTCCCCAGCTTTTTATTTTAAGGTTTTTGATTAGCTTATTGTTTGCCCCAACTGTTATCCATTGCCTCAGGCAGCCATAAAGGCCCACAATTGTCTTTGCTTGTTTTCAACAGACCTCCTTAGGGAAAAAGCTCTTCATCCTGGGCAAGCTCAGAGGCCAGTCAAAGTAAGATGGCCTTGCAAAAGGGATCTTCCAGACAGTTCAAATAATGACTGCTCTCTGGAAATGAGGCTTTTTGAAGGAGCTCCAACCCTCTTCTACCTCTGACTACCAAGCTGCTGATTTTCCCTGTGATCATGGGATGTTGGTTCCTAAGGCTACTTCAGCGCTGGAGAGAGGGTGATGGAATTAGAGCAAATTAAAATGCCATAAAGCAGGGCGCCTGGGCGGCTCAGTCGGTTAAGCGTCCGACTTTGGCTCAGGTCATGATCTCACGTTTTGTGGGTTCGAACGCCACGTCGGGCTCTGTGCTGACAACTCAGAGCCTGGAGCCTGCGTTGGATTCTGTGTCTCCATCTCTCCCTGCCCCTCCCCTGCTCACACTCTGTCTCTCTCTGTCTTTCTGTCTCTCTGTCTCAAAAGTAAATAAACATTAAAATGCCATAAAGGCTCACTGTTCTTACCAAGATTGTGTCCTTTTTCTTGAATAAACACTTTCCATATTAAGCCCTTGGTTAATTTCCAGACTTTTGAGGAAGTTGATTCTGATAATTTTTTGTCCGTTTTCTCCTTGCTTTTGTGAAGAAGAGAATTTTCAGAGGGCTTTACTCTGGCATTTTCACTGACATCACCTGTAACATATTTGAAATGCCCTTCTCTGTGATTGCCTTCTCATTTCTTAAAACACAGCTCAAATGTCTCCTCTATTATAAAGCCTTTTCTGTGTCCTCTGGGCAAAGGACTCGGTTATTTCTTTATCTTCCTATACATCTATGTTGATGCCCCTGTTATTTCACTTTTCACAAATAACAATTATTTATACCTGTTCCTGTGTCTTCCCTCAGCCTGCAGTTTCCTAGTTTGTGACGTATTCATTCTCCATGCCCAAACTAATTCCAGACACAGTAACTATTCATCTATGTAGGCAGAGGGGTATTTGTTTTAGGGGATCTCAGAGCCTAGCCAGGGAATTCTCAGCTCCCGCCAACAGTTCTTTCCTCCTCCTTCTGTGATTCATAGCTGACCTCTGTCTCTTCATTGTATTAGAAGTGTGGGGTGCTGTGTGTGATTACCATAAGCTCAGAGTTGACACACTGAATGTAAGAGGAAAATAGCAAAAATAAAGGCTGTGTGGATGAGGTTCAACAGTAATAATCATAATAGTGATAGCAGCTAATAGTTACTGAGTAGGTTCTATGCTAGATATCAGGCTAGGAGCTTTACATTCAGTATCTCCTTCATTTCCAACATCAGTCCCATGAGGTGGGTACTGTTTCCTTATTTTACAGGTGAGACAGTAAGGGAAGTGGCAGATCTGGGGTTAGGTGAAAGCCCGTATTCCTAACTGTTCTATCTGAGGGGTCCGTGGGAAGCATTTGGAACAGGGGAAGCCACACAAGTCTTTTTTCTTCCTTGGGACCTGTTCTGCCTCTCTGAAGAGCTGTGGTTCCCAGGCGTGCTCAGCTCAGCCGGGCCGCTTTGTGCTTTGAAGCAAGATAGCACTGGGGGCTCCTGTAGTAACTGGTCCCCAGGGCAGCTGGGGGGAGAGGCCCCATTTCCTCAGCATTGGGGCGACAGGTGTAGCCCTGAGGAGAGAAACGACTAAGATTCCTCATTATCATCCCAATTCCAACATGGTGACAGCCCCACACTGCTGGGAAAGCCAACCCACACAGAGATGAGATGTAATCCAGAGGGCTCAGAAACATTTCAACAAATGCTAATATCAGTCTTTCCAATACAGCCCTGTCAGCAGGAAGGGGGAATGTGCTAGCATGCATGGGGCACACTGTTTGGCGCAAGGGACCTGGTTGCTAAGCAACAGTAGCTGGCCTCCCCTCCTCCCTATAACCTTTTTCTCTGTTTCTAAGCTTCTAGTTAGCAGATGGGAGGGCCTGAGGCTGCCCAGCCCAGCCCAGCCCTTGGCCCCTTTCCCTGCAACAAGGGGTCTATTCATGGTTTCTGAGCAGATTCATTGTCTCTTTGGCACGCGCGTGCGCGCACGTGTGTGTGTGTGTGTGTGTGTGTGTGTGTGTGTGTGTAGTGGGGGGAGGATAAAGGGAGGGGCCCTATGTGAACTAGGGAAACCTCACCCTCCAGCCAAGCTGGCTGGGCTATTTAATCAATGCTGATCCAAGAACAGGAGCAGAACCCTGACTAGCAGACCCTGAGGCTTTACATTGGTGCCACTGACCCAAATGGTAAGGCTGTACCTACATCTGTGCTATCCCTGACCTGGCCTCTCTCTCTCTCTCTCTCTCTCTGTCTCTCTCTCTCTCTCCCCCCCACGGGGCATCTAGGGATGCCTAGACCAGTGAGGAAAGGCAGAGAGAGAGAGAGAGAGAGAGAGAGAGAGAGGTAAATGAGCACAATATAGGGCCAAAACAGGTGCCTTATGGGTTGAAGGAAACTTCTTAGAGCAGTGATGTCTAGCTATGTCTTAAAGGGTCCTAGGAGTCAGCTACATGGGAGAAAGGACAGCAAGTGCAAAGTCTGTGTGGTGTGAGAGCACGTGAAGGCCTGGAGGACTGGCATGTGTGTTAGTATGATCCTGAATTCCACTGAGGAGGGACTCATGCTGGCAGCTGGGGATGGAGAGGTGAGGAAGGGTGAGATCACAGGGGATTTTCTGAACCATGTCTTAGGACTTTGGATTTATCAGACTACAGAGATTCATTTGGTACTTTATTATTATTATTATTATTATTATTATTATTATTATTTTAGAGGGTGGGGGGAGAGGGGCAGAGGGAGAGAGAGAGAATCTTAAGCAGGCCCCACACTCAGGGAGGAGCCCATGATTGAGCAGGGCTCGATCCCATGACCTGGAATCATGACCTGAGCTGAAATCAAGAGTCGGACGTTCAGCCAACAGAGCCACTCAGACGCCTCTCATTGGGTCCTTTAAAGATGAGATTAACTTGCTCATGTTTGAATTTTAGGATTGCTCTGACACGGAGAATGAATGGAGACAAGAACTAGAGGAGGGAGATTACTTGTTGGGTAGTAATGGTGATCACTCTTATTTTACAAATGAGAAAACTGAAGTTTGGAGAGGTGTTAGGCTGCAGACCTAGCTTTGAACTGCTCTTCCAGTGTTTCCCCCAAGATCGTATTTTCCATTACTCTTCTTCACGGCACATGAACTTCAGGCAAACATATAACTTACTCTGCTCTGTGCTTTTCCACCCCCATGCTTTTGCCTCTTCAGTCGCCTAGAACACCCAATGCCCATATATGTCCATGTAGGCCCCGTGCGTCTCAGAGGGCCTGTCTCAGGCTGCCTTTTCTGGGAAGCCTTTTTTGATCTCCCCGGTGAGAAGTAAGCCCTGCTTCTGAATGCCATTGGTGGTGAAACTGAACTTCCCTTCTGTCACTTAACATATTCTGCTTTTTTTACATGACCTATTGTCAGGACTCCACTGCAGATTCTTTGGGGGCAGCTGGGGAGTGTTCCATGTTGGTTTATTTTGAATTCCCTACAGTGTCCCCCATTGTGGCCTATCCACCTGGGCTAAATATGGTGCATTGTGCAGGGGCACTTCCTACTCTGACACAGGAGGGGAAGAAGAAGGCTGGGGTCTGGAGGCCTGAGGAGGGATGTGGAGAGGCTCAGTGGATGCCCTTGATAGCTGTGGGAGGCAAGGGGAGTGGGTGGTGAGGAGTGTGGGTTTCAGAGTCAGCCCAGTCTGGGTTTGAATACCCGCTCTGATGCTTACTGGCCTTGTAAGAATAAGGTGGGTGAGGTTAGGGGATCCAGGGGAGCGGAGAAGGCCTGGAGGGGCATGGGCATCAGTGGGAAGACAGAGAGAGTGTCTAAGATGAAGAAGAGGCAGTGAGTGCACAGCCGAGGTTAGAGAGTGGGGGCTCGTAGTGGGCTGTGACTTCTCACCGTGGTGTGGGGATCCTGAGTGACCAACAGTTATTTTCCCAGAGCCTGATGCCGGATGGCCAAGCCCACATGGAGCCTCAGTATGCAGAGGAGGGTCCAGGACCTGGGATCTTCAGAGCAGAGCCAGGAGACCCACTGAGGAGGCCTGAGGCCCAGCAGCAGCCCAGTAGGCGAGATTGGGCTATAGGGGAATGATAAGGTGGAGACAGTGAGTGGATAAGCCGTCCACATTCCCCAGACCCTTCATGGGCCAGTCCCAAATTACCGATGGCGAGAGGCAGCCTCACTGCTCCTCCCGGAACCGCTTTGGCCGTTTCCCAGTTTGGGGACTGAGTGGGCTCTGTGGTGATGGGGCAGGGGGAGGTGGGCAGGGACAGTGGGAGCAAACTCCCGCCACAGCCCAGTGGCTGCTGTGCCCCATGGAGGTGCCTCAGGGCAGAGTGAGGCTGGCAGGCAGGAGCGGGGCACCCAGACTCCTCTGCCCTCTCCCACAGCCTCTCAGGCGGGGCGCTGGTGCTCAAGGCGGCGCGGCTGCGTGGGGCTGGGCGCCCTGGCGCTGCTGGCTGGTGCGAGCGTCGGCTCATGGCTTCTTGGTCAGTGCTGGGGCCCGTCGGTGCTCTGGGGAGGGCTGGAGAACAGGATCTGGGGGGTCCTTGTTGCCAGACACAAGCGGGTGTAAAGGGCAGTCGGGAAGAGCGTCTTTCTGATCTACCCCGAGCTGACAGCAGGGGAGAAGGGATGGATTCGCAGCTGGAGGGATTTAGGCTCCGCGTAAAGAATGTTTTAGTCCTACAGTGATAAGTGTAAGGTACTTGAATGGATGCCCCGGGGAGGCCCAGGGCAGACGTTTTCTAGAAATCATTCCCAGTCAGAGAGAGACGGAGACAGGGACAGACAGAGTGTGCTCTCCTCGGGGTGTTAGTTGGGGGACCCGCCTAAGGCTGGGTGGTGCGTGAGTCCCCAGGCAGCTGCTTTTGTCTCCCTCTGTTGCAGGGGTCTTGTTCTGCCCCTTGGCCCTCTCCTTGGGAATCCCTCCCTTCTCCTAGCCTCTTCTCTGTGACCTCTCCCTGTCCTTGTCCTCTGAAGTGCTGTATCTGTGGCCAGCCGCATCTCAGCCATCTCCCGGGAACTTGCAGGATGAGGAGATGCCTTTGAGCTGCTCAGAGGCCAGTGGTGAGGAAGCCCTGCTCCCTTCGCTTCCCAGAACAGGTGGGCCACACCCCCAAGGCAGCAAGACTGCCCTCCCCCCAGCCCTGAGCCCCGTCAGAGCTCTGGGCTCCCCACTTCTGGCCAGGGGCAAAGAGGACCAAAATGGAAGGCCATGAATCCACTGCCTGCATCCGGGTCTCCTCCTCTGGTGGGAAGGGAGTGACATGGTCCAGCCTCAAAAAGTGGATCTCTGGTTCGGAGCATCCAGCACACCCTGGGGACTGTTTTGATCTCTAGCTGAGGCACGGACAGGGGTCATTAAGGCCTCTTTGGGTCCCCGCACGGCCAGGTCCAGCTCCCCCTGGCCACTCTGCCTCTCTACCCCTCAGCAGGTAGGATGTGACTTTTATGCTGTGCCTTCAGTATCTTTCAGAATCCACCCTGAGGGCTTCTTGCTGGCAGTACAGGTGAGGGCTCGGCCAGACTGGCTCCTGGTCTGCCACGAGGGCTGGAGCTCTGCCCTGGGGCTGCGGATCTGCCAGAGCCTGGGACATCTCAGGTAACTGGGGCCAGGCTAGGGGCCCGGGGAGGGTGGCAGGCTGGTGGTAGGAAAGGGGGAGTTGGAGACCTCTATCTGCCCGTCCCCATCAAAGTGCTCAGGAACTGGCAAGAGGTCACTTTGGCCATCTCCTGGCCTCCGGACATGATGGTACCCCAGCCTGTTTCTCTCCTTTGAGCAATACTGCTTTTTAACAAATATAAATCCCAGAAGTCATTGTCAAAGTCTTGCTCAGTGAGGGTACTGTTGGGTGGATTGTATATCACGTATATCCCGGTCATGATTAACTGCCATCTCCTGTGCTACAGTGCAAACCGATTTCCTCCCCCGTTCTGTTCCCCTCTTCTGCCAAGACTCACTCACTACAAGGGAGTGAACCTGTCTGACATCCAGCTCAACAGCTCCCAGGGGTTTGCTCAGCTCTCTCCAGGACTGGGAGGCTTCCTGGAGGACGTGTGGCAGCCCAGGTAGGGCTTCTGAGGAGATTGAGTGGGGTCCCTTACTTCCTGGTGAACAGTCCGGCAGAAATCTTCCTGTCATGGGAGGCTGGTAGCAAAGACATTGGCCGTGTGATATAGGACACAGAGGAACATTTCCCAGTCTGAAATCACAAACTCCGTTCCCATGAGTGGGGATTCACTCTGCCAGGAGAGCCGGGATGCTGTGGGTTTGAGACACTAGAACGATCGAGGCATTAGGCTGCTGGGGCCAGTAAGCAGGTGAGTGAAGAGGGCTTTGGTCCAGCAGGAATGGAGGTTTGCTAAGAAGGAGGAGGGGGAGAGGAGAGCAAAGGGCGGGGGATAGAGAAGAGAGAGTAAGCCCAGGAGGGGCATGGGACAAAGCTCCCTGTTCTTCCTTCAGTCCCTTATCCACTCATCCACCGAAAACACGTCCATTTGGGGGCTCTTAGTGGGCACAGTTGGACTTTCTTGTCTGTAACTTGGGGCCCTGTCTAGGACAACCCTCAAGGGCCACGACCTCCGCTGGTACCCTGGGGTGGGGCAGTGGGCCAGGGTAGCAGTGCTGTCCTGGGGGCCTGTGAATGAGGAGGGGCCTGGAGCTTGGGGCGGGGGTGGGAAACAGAGGGGGGCTGCACCGGAGGCCTCCTCTGTCTCCACCTGGCCTCCATGCCCTCGGGTGGGCCCCTGTCCAGCTTCTTGCTGCGATCTCCATTTTGCAGGGACAGCTGCGCTTCTGGTCAAATCGTTTCCCTCAGATGCTCTGGTGAGTCATGTGTCCAGTCCAGGAAGGCGGCAGTGGGAGGAAAGGGTCTCCCCACTGTCCTGAGTGTGGAGAGCCACACAGCGTGGGTGTGGGATGGGGTTCCTTGCCCACCTTCCCCTCTGCCTGCCGGTCACCTTCTTGCAGACACAGTTCCATCTCAACAGAGCCCCGTCCACTCCTCTGTCGTGTCCCCCACCAGCCACCGATCTGGTTGGATAATCTTGCTTCTCTTCCTAGCACTATCTGTCTTGACTTCTGAGGCTCCTTCCCGCTTTCCTCTGGAGAGCCCCCAGGGGGATTACTGTAGGCCGTTAACCGGTGAGCAACTTCAGGAGACTAAGGCAGGTGGTAAACCAGGGGCTGCATGGGAGACAGTCTGCAGAGCTCCTTGCATGTGACCCCAATCATCCGTCTGTGTCTTCACCTCTCCTTTTGCATGTATCCCTCTACACACCAACATTCTGACCCCTCCTGTGGGACAGGCATTTGGTTAGGTGTCGGGGCTCTGCACACAACACAGGCCTAGGTGTGGGCCTCCGTGAGCTCGCAGACTGATTTCTGCCTTCTCATACCCCCAATTCAGGGTCGGGAGAAATAAATCAGAGCCGTCCACACTGGACCGTGCTCCCCGAGAGTTAGGACCAATCTATCACCCACCTCTCTTCCCTAGTCACCATCTCACTCATGCTTTCCTGTTTGCAGAGTGTGGGACGAGGCCCCTGGCTTCCCGGATAGTTGGTGGGCAGGCCGTGGCTCCCGGGCGCTGGCCCTGGCAGGCCAGTGTGGCCCTGGGCTCCCGGCACACGTGTGGGGGCTCTGTGCTGGCCCCACGCTGGGTGATGACGGCCGCGCACTGCATGCACAGGCAAGTCTCGGGGGCTGCTGGGGAGGACACGGCCTCAGTTTCCTTTTCCGTTTGGCCGTTGGTATGTCCATGTCGAGGGCGCCTGGGTGGCCCAGGTCATGATCTCACGGTTCTTGGGTTCGAGCCTCTCGTCGGGCTCTGTGCTGACAGCTCGGAGCCCGGAGCCTGCTTCGGATTCTGTGTCTCCCTCTCTCTTTGCCCCTCCCCACTCGCACTCTGTCTTTCTCTCTCTCAAAAATAAATACAAACATAAAAATTAAAAAAAAAAGTCCACGTCGAACAGTCTGCCTCCCCATGTGCGTCCTCAGGGGCACGGATTGCGAAGTGCTCTCCCCGTTCAGTGCCAAGAACAATTTGCATGAGTAGCAGCAGTAAGACAAAGACTGGTCCTCTGTGCTGGCTCAGTTTTGAAGTTTTCAAAATACTTTCATATTCACAGTGCTCTGTGCTTCTTAATGTTTATCACAAGTGTCATTAAATCACCTTCCGGGTAATTATTTGTTTAATGTCTCTCCTCCCCTTTAGACTGGAAGCTCCCCAGGAACGGGGGCTCTCAGTCTTGTTTACCCCTGGGTCCCTTTCTTGATTTGTCCACGGCCATGTCCCCATGGCCTAGAACAGTCCTGAAATACAATAGGTGCTTAATAAATACTGGTTGGAGCAAGGAAGGGATGAATGACGAGCAAATGAGCTCTTTGGACCTCTTCTTTTGGTGGCGGGCAGGGCAGTAGCACACTTCTCACTTCACAATGAGGAAACTGAGGCTGGGAGAGGTGAGGTGTCTTCTCCATGGTCACAGGTAGTAAGTGGAGAGGCAGGACTCCCAGAACTTTTTCTGACTCAGAGTTAGGAGGTCACACAAGCCCCTTTGATGTTCGTCACAAAGTGTGGAGGGGGCTCATTCAGGACAGAGGGGCTGGGGGGTTGCAGATGACCCCCAGTGTCTCATGTCTCTGGCCGTTCTGCAGCATTTATTAAGCACCTACTGTGTGCCCAGTATCTTGCCAGCTGCTGCAACGATACTAAGAGGCCTGGCCCCTGGGTCCTGCGAGTGCCCAGCCTGGTGATGGGGGCTTCCATTAATGGTTTCTCTGGCCAGCTTCCTCCATCCGCCGGCATGCTTATGTCAGCCTCTTCTGCCCCTCCCTTCCCTGGGCTCAGCACGGCTCCTGTGTGTAGTTTTAGGCTGTCCCGGCTGTCCAGCTGGCGGGTGTACACGGGGCTGGTGAGCCACAGTGCCGTCAGGCCGCACCAAGGGGCTGTGGTGGAGAGGATCATCCCTCACCCCCTCTACAGCACCCAGAATCACGACTACGATGTCGCCCTCCTCCAGCTCCGGACACCGCTCAACTTCTCAGGTGAGGCACCAGCCAGGAACCAACAGGCTGCGGGCCGTGGCGGGAGCGGGGCAGGCCCTGGGATGCCTGAGAGGTGAGCTCCCTTCTGAGTTCTCGCCCAGCGCTGTAAACCTTAACACACTCAGTTCATCGGATGAGCTCTGCCATCTCCTGGACCTCAGCTTCACCCAGGCTTGCGCAGGCTCTTTTGGGGACAAAGGTTCTGGCCCTTTTTGCAGCTGGACTGCAAGCGGGTCTTGCCTCCAAGTCCCCAGCGGAGCTCCTGGCTGCTCTGTCTACCAACAGACCGCCCCTCCCCCGTCCCCATGCCACGGCGTGACATGCTACACAGTTTTCCAGATGTCTTTCCTTCACCTCTCATAACAACCCTGACAGGTAGATGAGACAGGTATATACAGACAAGGACAGTGACACTTAGTGAGGAGAGGGACGCTCTACAAGGTCACACGGCACATGGTTCCCGAGCCTGGTGTCTGGGCTCCAGGGCTGCTTCTCCACAGCACCTGCCCTCGAAGAGCAAGCCCCCCCAGCATGCACGTGCATGTGCGTGCTCACCAGCACACACACACACACACACACACACATGCACACACACACACACACACACACAGAAACACGCACACGCACTCACCCAGTGGTCACGCAAATACCCACGTGCATGCTCTCTCACACACGCACACACTCACATACACTCAGCGCTCCTCTCTCCCACCTCCACCCATGGCCTTGGGTTTCCCAAATCCCAGTGTTGCTACATACCCTTGGGCCTACGTGACTCTGAACTTTTGCTCAACAGTTCATATTTCTAAATTGACTTAAGTACATTTATTTTTCCTAATGTTTATTTTTGAGAGAGAGGGGGAGAGAGAGACAGAGCGTGAGCAGGGGAGGGGCAGAGAGAGAGGGAGACACAGAATCCGAAGCAGGCTCCAGGCTCTGAGCTGTCCGCACAGAGCCCGACACGGGGCTTGAACCCACAAGCAGCGAGATCATGACCTGAGCCAAAGTCGGATGCTTAACCGACTGAGCCACCCAGGCGCCCCTAAATTGACTTAAGTACCTTTAAAAGGCGAACTTCAAGCTACTGCCTAACTGGAGAGCCCACATTACTTGTAGCAAATAGGTAACAACCATGAAAACACAGAGCGAAAACGAGCCAGGGTTCAAGTCCTCTGCAGAATTTGGCGTCTGGGCCTGCTGTCTCCGTATTTAGGGGGAAGTTGACAGGCACTGGGAGAGCCACACAGGGGCACCCCATGGAATCTTTCTCCATGATGTAGTTCGAGGGACTGAAGGAGAACCCAGAAGAAAACCCTTCCTCCCCTCACGCATCAGCGATTATTATTATTTTTTTTTTAATTTTTTTTTTCAACGTTTATTTATTTTTGGGATAGAGAGAGACAGAGCATGAACGGGGGAGGGGCAGAAAGAGAGGGAGACACAGAATCAGAAACAGGCTCCAGGCTCTGAGCCATCAGCCCAGAGCCTGACGTGGGGCTCGAACTCACGGACCGCAAGATCGTGACCTGGCTGAAGTCGGACGCTTAACCGACTGCGCCACCCAGGCGCCCCCATCAGCGATTATTTAATGGCATGTCTACGTGCCACCTGACAAGTGTGGGCCCCAACCATAGAACTTGCCACACTTTTGGAAACAATTCCGGAAGAGGGATCCAACACCCCAAGTGAAGTCCCAAAGGAGTACAGATGCTCAGAAGGAATTCTCGTTCTCCCTCAGTCCCCGGGTTGGAGGTGTGCACTGCCCAGCCTAGAAGGCACCCTGCACACTGCAGTTTATACATTGTCCTCTGTGCGAATGGTGCCCCCCCCTGCAATGTGGTACGGTGCACGACCTGCACAACCTTACAGGAGACCTGGTTGGTGGAGGCCGGGAACCAGGGTTGTTTGAGAAGGGGGTGAGGAGGAACTGCCAGGCCTGGTTCTTCCCCGAGGCTGAGGGTGAGGTGGTGGGGAAGGGAAGCTGAGCCTGAGTGGAGCCCAGAACCAACTGCTTCTCTACAGACACTGTGGGTGCTGTGTGCCTGCCAGCTGAGAAGCAAGATTTCCCAAGGGGCTCACAGTGCTGGGTGTCTGGCTGGGGCCACACCGACCCCAGCCACAGTGAGTCAGCTCCCAGGGCCCTGGGTACAAAAGGGGTGGGGGAGTGGGGGAGCATCCTCCCCCAAGGTGACGCACCTCTACCTCCCATGTCCACCTCCCCCCCTGGGCCAAATGGCAGTGCCAACCCCCTTTTTCTCTGGTGTCATCGTTGGCCTCAGTCTCCCCTGCCTGGGTCTTCCTGGGAGAACACCCCCTGAGTTTCCCCTGAAGCCAGGCCTTTTATACCCCTGCCCTTTTTCTGGCCTTCTTCACTCTTAAGTCTGACAGACCCCTGCCTCCTTCCCGGGGTCCACAGCTCCCACCCTGGGCTCTGCTCTTTGGGTCTCGTGTCTCCGGGGCCTCTAACCACCTTCCCTCCAGCTGCTGTGTCTTCCTGGCCTTGCTTTGTGCCCCACGGCCCGGCTCTGTATCCCTCCATCTCCATGTCTGCCTCCCGCAGCCCACAGCTCAGACACGCTGCAGGACACGGTGGTGCCCCTGCTGGGCACCCGGCTCTGCAACAGCTCCTGCATGTACAGCGGGGCCCTTACCCCCCGCATGCTGTGTGCCGGCTACGTGGACGGGAGGGCCGACGCGTGCCAGGTGCAGCAGTGAGCGGGACCGTGGTTGGGGGCGGGGATGAGGGGTTTCCTGCTGGGGCTTGGCCCCTAGTCTGAGCAGCCTCTCTAGGAGGATGGGTGTCTAGGCGAGTTGAGTAGTGCAGCTAAGGATTAATGGAGGGACGAGGCGAGCGGAGATCCATGCTGGAAGCAGAAGGGGCCTAGCGTAGAGGGTGTGCTTTGGGGAGTTCTGGTGCGCCTCCACCAGGAAGGACTAACTGCCCGCTTCTCTGTGTCTCTACGTCCGGATCCCTCAGGGTGACAGCGGGGGCCCCCTGGTGTGCCTGGACGGGGGCACGTGGCACTTGGTGGGGGTGGTCAGCTGGGGCCACGGCTGCGCGGAGCCCAATCACCCTGGCGTCTATGCCAAGGTTGCCGAGTTCCTGGACTGGATCCATGACACTGCGAGGGTGAGTGTGGGGGCAGGGGTGGGCGGGCAGCTTTATAAAGGACCCAACCCTTGGGTGATGCTCAGCTCTTAGGTCTGGGCGCTGCTCGGGGCTGAAGAATGGTCCCTAGATGGGGAGGAGGAAGTGATGCTTATAGCACCGAATGCATTGGATTTCTATCAATTTAAGTATTAGCTAGGGAAGAGTGGACCTGAGTTTGTAGCCCAGATCTGCCATTTACTGGGGGAGCTTTGGCCCGTCCCTAACCTTGGCAAGCCCCAGTTTCTTGGTAGTAGCTCACGGCTACCTCGAATGCTCCTGCGGCGATGTAGTGAGGTAAGATTACCACGAGACAGCCATGCAGCCCTAGGCTTGTGGTGGGTGGTCCTCATGTTGTTCGGGGGCGTATTTCCGACCATCATTCGTTCCTGCTTTCTAAGGCAGTTGTGAGTGCCTGCACTCCCTGCACTTTGGAGAGAGCTCGGCATTTTGCAGTGTGGGTTCAGCAGGGGATTAATTCTTGTGTGACATCAGGCAAGCCACTTGGCTTCATCTGTTCAGTGGGAGGGCCCAGGAGGATAATGTGCATGAAGACAGGTCCTCTGTGTAAAGTACTTAACAGATGCAGGGCGTGATGATGAGAAGCATCTCTCCCCAGGGTTGGGCACAGGGGCAGGTGGCCGGTAGTACATTTTAGAGTTTCAGGGGACACATAAACCCCTGTTCTCATTCAAGCCTTACAGAAAACCTAGAGAAATAGTTTTAGCTGCATTTGATAGAAGTGGAAACCAAGGTTCTGAACGGTGGTTTCCTCAAATGGAAATTTCTCGGCTGGTAGGTATTGGGGCCATCATGGGTCTGGCTCCTTCCTCCGTCACCCCAGGCCCCCCTCTCCCAGCCCTGTTCCTCCTCCACCGCACCACACGCAGCCTCACACTTCTTCCTGGGTCTCTGGCAGGCCCGCCAGGTGGAGGAGGAGCTGCAGACCCAGGTGCAGAAGGCACGGACCTCCTTTCACACAAGACAGTCATCGCCCACAGGCCAGCCTCCGGGTCCGGGCCTCTCCTCTCGGGCCCTGGTTTTGAGTCCCTCTTTCTCACCAGGGAGCCTCAGTAACAGGAGAGCCGATGGGGCTGGGCTGGAAAAGTGGGGGGAGGGGCGGGGGAGGAAGATGCTGCTGGCGGCAGCTGGGCACCCGCCCTCCCCCCTCTGCCCTTCCCTGCACGCATCTTTTGGGAGGATGCTCGGGGATGCCCTGGGACCGCTTTCTCCATGTCTCTCAGGCAAGGAAAGTGCCTCCTTAGAGGAGCCCCTGGCCCCGAGGCTTCTGGGCAGATGGGGTCAAGGCTGGGCAAGCCCATGCAGTCAGGATCCTCCCCACTCTGCGTGTTCTCAAGTGGCTGTGGCTGACCCGACCGGGCAGGGTCGGGGACATGTAAGAATGCTCTGGTTGGCCTTCAGTTAGGACTTTGCTTTTATAACGACAGTTCTGTGAACTGGTTCAAGGACTCCTGTCTTGGAGTGAAGTGATATAGGGTCTCAGTCCCTCATTTTCTCTTGCTCTCTGTGTCTCTCTCTCTCGTACACACACACTCTCTATCTGTGTCTCTGTCTCTGTCGGTCTCTCTTTCACACACACACTCTTTGTCTCTGTCTCTCTTTCTCTCTCTCTCACACACACACACACACACACACGCTAAAAGGATAGAATTACAGTTTTCCTCCCATACGTGTTTCTTAAATCTCCGGATCTGACTCCTGCTCCTCTCTCTAGAATCTGGGCATTCACTTATTCAGTTCTTTACATTTCTTGAATCTACATGTCATAACCTGCAGCAAAGAGCGCCCGCCGTCCAGATGGGCTGATGCACAGGTTTGAGGACCTTCCCCCCCACCCCAAGTCAGTGCTGTCTTGGGAGACCTCTGTCTCCTTGGCTCCTGTTCCAGCACTGGGCCTTCTGTCTCGGGGAGATTTCTTTCTGAGTTTATGCCCAGTTAGCATTTTCCTGGTTAAGCTTCTCCCCGACTCTCTTCTCTCTAGCAATTAAAATGCACTTGGCATCTTGTTTCTAAAAAGTGCAATGAATTTTTTTATGGTGCTTACCCAAGGAAATGCAATTAGCGTTTAGCAATAACAACTTTTTCATGAATTTATCAGCATTTTTTTGGAGGGGTAGTACAAATGAATATTCATTCCTGGAGGGTCTGCTCACTTTTGGTGAAGTGCACTAAAAAATAAGGACCTCGATTTACTGTCGCTGTATTACCTGGGAGGGGTTGCTGGGAGTTGGCTCTCACATTGGAGAAGTGGTGGGGGAGAGACTCTGGCAGGTGACAGACAGCCTCATCCCCCCCCTCCCCCCACCACCCAGCTCTTAGATCTCCAGCCTCTTCCCTGAGCTCGAACATTTACCACCTGACTCTGGTGAGTCCCCATCTCAAGAGGCAGGTTCAGGGCAGCTGATCCCCCTGGGCAGGAAAGAGTTACCTGCAAATCCATCAACTATAATCTTTTCAGTGTTTCTCATGACCCTGTGAGTGTTTGCTTATTTAAAGGGAGGTTTTCCTTTATCATAGTCATGGTAGCCGGTTAATAATCAGTAACATGGGGCTATTACACTTTATCAACACAGCTCACGTGTACCTCATTGAGATCTCACACTAGCTATGCGGTGAAGATATTATTATTGTGCCCACTTTATAGGCAAGAAAATTAGTTCAGAAAGATGAAGCATCTCCCCAAGACCAGCCACTAGTAAGCGCCAGTGAACCCTGGATCTTTTTATTCCACACCCACATCACCGTTTGGCACATGGATGAACGAGATGGTCCAGTGTTGCACAGCAGTGTAGACGTGAAAGGTTCTTTATCACCTAGTGGAGTCACCTGCCTACACAAATGCATCACCATCCCTGCTTTTTATAGGTGAGGCAACCAAAACCTGGGAAGAAGTTAAGTGGCTCCTGCCAGAGACCCTTCTTAGGCAATATTCTGACAGATTTCCAGTTCTCCGTGAGATTGATGGCCTGACTTAAACGTTACAAATGAGTATCTTCCACAGGAGGACGATAAAGAGAACCCTAATTAGAGAATTTGCTAAAAGTGATTCCCTGTTTACCTACAGAAGATCCCAGGATCTTTCATCAAGCTACCAGTCAGATCTGCAGACTCAGAGGCTCCCACCTGCTCTTCCTTTGTTGGCTGGCACCCGCCAATCCAACTCTTAGGAAAATGAGGAGAAAGAGTGCCTGGGCTCTTTCTCCTGGGCCAGCTGCTGGAGTGCAGCAGTGGGGATGGGGGCAAGGAAGGGTGGGAAAATTCAGGTCCAGAAGGATTTTAAAGAGGACCAGCTGGGTGCCCAGCTGTGTTAAGCTCTGTAGGGAATTCAGAGGTTGAGAAACTGACTGCCTTATTGGAGCGAGGAGACTTATTTGTAATAAATTATTAGTGGCCAGCCAGGCACAAAGCTGCGTGGTGAGGCAATAATTACGAAGGGAGCTCTAGGGGACTATCGTGGAATAAGTCAGGGCATTTCCGTGCAGGAAACTTGTCTGTCCCTTCCAAGGATTCAGCATCCCACCTGCCTGGGCAGAGCTTGTGAGCCCCAGGAGACTTCATAAGCAGGTTGCTCCTGGCTGCCATGCCCAGGGTGGAAACGTTCTCCTTTTCTGTGCTTTTGGGGTCTGGAAGGTATAGTGGGATGCAGGCTCTCTCTACTTGTTAGAACTTCCGTGCTTTTCCTAGAAGGGCTGCTATGAATGAGGGGGCAGGCCTGCCATTCCTGAGGAACATTTCTCAAGCTCTTTCCTACATTTTATTTTTGGAAGTGCTGGGCTCACCCACAGTAGGACAAAACTGGAAATGCTATAAATGCTAAAAGCTGGTACAGCAGCTGTCAGGGGATGGTTTTCCCCAGTCTCTCTATTGCCTTCTGTGCTCTGCCCTCTCCTGGCCATGCACTTAGGACCCTCCAGGCTAGTGAAGAGAGAACCCAGCTACACTATTCAGCCTCTCTCAGCATATCTGGTCCGGATCCCCCCACCCCTCTACTCAGACACATCAGAATGCACTCTTGGGGTACACTTCACCCTTGGGGCTCTGCCTCCTGCTGACCCATTGGAGCCCAGGGTTGCTCATGGCTGTTTAAACTGTCTTGAATACCATTGCCTCTAGAAGAGTTCCTAGCAGGAGGCCTGGAGTAGCTTCCTACTCCTGAGGACAAGGCTGATCTTTCTTACACATTCCATTACCTGGACAGGAAGACGCGGGGCAGGCGGGCACACTTCTCGTGCGCTGGAGGCCCCGGGTCAGAGCAGCCCAGGGGAAGCCACTGGAGGGTTTATACCTGGGGTTGGTGCTGGAGCAGACCAAGCTGGGGACTCAGACAAAACAGAAAGAGGAGTCCTGGCTCCAGAAGGCGCCGGTCTCGCCCTTGTGTGCCTCTCCCAGGGCGGGGTGAGGGCTGCAGGAAGGCAGCGGGGCTCACAGGGCCCGGCTCATCTCCTGAGCCTCCTCCCTCCCCAGGAATCTTTGGCTGTGGCCTCTGAGGGTGTAGAGTCCCAATCTAGGTCTCCAACCACTTGGGAGTTTGCTTTCCTGAGCTAACGACTCAGCCTCCCTCAAACTTGGGCTCTCACCTGTCAAATAGGGAGTCTGGGCCAGGTGGTCTCCATGGCATCTGCCTTGTCAGGTTTCACGCAAACCTCTGTCACCCCCGGAGACATCTGCCCCACACCCTGTAGTTGGGACACAATGGGCAGCTGCCTGTTCCCTGGGACAGATCTAAAGGACCAAGACTGTTCTGGCTCCTCGGGCCCATAAGAGGAGGGCACTCACAGCTGCTCTCCCTTGAGGCTCGCCCTCTGGGTCCTGGGGGAAAGGGGAGAGATAGCACCGGGCAATTTGAAAAGCCGTCTTTCCCCATGTCCGTCTGTCCAGCGTTTGTATAGGGGTGAAGGGTTCCAGGACAGGCTGAGCCCCGTGACTGGAACTGTTTCAGCTGCTCCTCAGCTCCTTCCCGACACCCTGGGCTCTGTGTGGGGCCTCATGGGCTGCAGACTCCTAAAGACACTGAGGGAATTTCCTCCTTACCTCAAAGACCCACGGACACTTCCCTTTTGCCCATTTTCTCTTGACAGCTCCTGAGCTGGCCGCAGGACCCCCTCTGCTCCCCAGCCTCTCCCCGTGCATGAGGACGAGTAGTGAGGAAAAGTTTTGGCTACCAGAACCATTAACAGGCAGCTTTGGTTCAAGCTGTCCCCGTTCCTGGCCATGTTACCAGCCTCACAGAGGGAGAATCCTTTCCCATGGCCCTTCAGTCAGGGTGACCCTATCTTCCCAATTTGCCTAGGATTGACCTGGTTTTATTTATTTATTTAATTTATTTATTTAATTTTTTTTTTAACGTTTATTATTTTTGGGACAGAGAGAGACAGAGCATGAATGGGGGAGGGGCAGAGAGAGAGGGAGACACAGAATCGGAAACAGGCTCCAGGCTCCGAGCCATCAGCCCAGAGCCTGACGCGGGGCTCGAACTCATGGAGCGCGAGATCGTGACCTGGCTGAAGTCGGACGCTTAACCGACTGCGCCACCCAGGCGCCCCTGATTGACCTCGTTTTAACACTGAAACTACCATCCGGGCAAACCAATGGGTCACGCTAAGTCTGCTGCCTCCCTTCTGTATAAAAGGCATTTCTGTAAACTCTAGTGCCCCTCGGCCTCCTCCAGTCCAATCGGGCTTAAAAGAAAGCTTCCCTGGTGACCCAGAGTTGGAGGAAGAGAAGGTTCCCTGGAATTCTCGAGGTCTGGATGGTTTTGTCAAGGCTGCAACGTTAGCAGATAGTGCCTTGGCCCTGAGGCCCTCGGAGCAAGTCTCCCACAGACCTGGCTGTCCGTCCTTCCCTACGGTGGTCCCTCAGATGGCAGCCAGGACAGCTGTCGCTTCACCTAATGTTCTGGGCACATAGCCTGATCCTTCCAGGCCCAGAAGCCCTCCTGCAATTTGGGGGAGGCAAGGAGGGTGATGTACATGTAGCACTGCTCCCGGAAGCCATGAACATCGCTTTCCCACTTTGCCCAGGTCTCACTCATGTCTGGTCCCCAGATCCTGGTCTGGGGCTTGGCATGAGGTGCTCACTGAGCCCCCTTGGGAGGAGGATAAGAGGGGGCTATCGCCCTCCTGGGAGGCGGGTGGGTCTCTTCTCCAGCCTCTGCCCTCCGGAGGGGAGCAGAGAAGAGCAAAGAAGAGACTGCCAGACTGCTGGAGCCCACAGGGATTTTGTGGGGTTTATTTTGCCTCGGCACTGTCTGCAGAGGTGAGGGCATGAATAAAAGAGCGAGGCAAGATTTACTGTTCCCACACTTGGCGGTGGCCCTGTATTTGCACAGCGGATCCTGTCTGGGAGGGGCTGGAGCAGGTGGAGGCCAGGCTGGGACTCAGGGAGAAAGCCAGACTCCAGGCAGTCTTTTTGAAGGGACCCTGGGGAGGAGCGGAAGGTGAGGCTGTGAGGAGGCTACTTAGGCCATCTCTGTGACCCCCCCAGAGGCCAGAGCGTCCCCTCCACTCTTCTGCTCTGTCCCTTACATGAACCAGTAGCCAACAGCTTGGGTCCAAGAACCTCTTAAACCCAGGGGCATGTGGTGGGCCTGGTAGGGTGCACTGCCAATGAGGACCCCAAAAGAAAGGGCCCCAGGCTGCACTCATTTGTATTCATGGCCCTGGTAATGGGCACAATCATGAAGTGACATTAGTCGTGGCCTAGCCTAGCCTGGGGCTGGGACCTGGAACCTTTCAGCTGAGAGTGACCTTGGACAGGGTCCAGTGTCACCTCTGCATGCACGTCCAAGACAGTACAGCATCGTAGTGTCCTGGGGCCAACAAAAGACGGACCACTTTTTGTACACTCAATCCTAATGGGTCAAAGCTGGTGGCGGGAGGTAACAGAAAAGAGGAGAGTCTGAGGGACTGGTAGCGGCTTCTGGGAAGTGATAGGATCCATACTGTGTGTGTGTCTATGTATCTGTGTGTCTGCCTGTGTATGTGTATCTTTGTGTGTCTGCATATGTCTGTGTGTGTGTGTGTGTGTGTGTGTGGTCTCTGTGTGTTTTTGGGCACATGTCTGTGTGTATACTGGTATGTATATTCTATGAAACTTGAAGGTCTGGAGGGAAGAGGAGACATAAAGGGAGTCTGCGATAAGGCTCTACAGAATTTCTCCCCTAACCTTGAAGAGGCAGATCGAACTCTGGCCAGTTTCCATGTACAGGGCCCCCCCCACCTTTAGCTTCTCCCTCCCCATGACACACACACACACACACACACACACACACCACCTCAACACTACCCTGGCAGATGTGATCATAAATAACTAGGAAGAATCACAGTGGTCACATATAAGAAACACAGACCTCTGGTACTAGCTTGTTTGTATATATGCGCATGTGCACGTGTGCATATATGTGTGTGTGCACGTATGTGTGGTCATGTCCTCATGGGAGCTTCTGAATCTTAAGTCAGCCTCTCAAGACTGCTTCCCCCAGGTCCACTTGAACATTTGTGGGGCTTGGGCAGGAGCATGGATGGAATATACCATATGTCTAAAGAGTTAAAAGTAACACATCAAACTAGCAGATCATTCAATTGAAAATGTCTTGCCATGACAAATATACCTCCTTAAAGATGTGGAATACCAGCTTCAAATTTAGAATCCTAGAATCCTTGGATTCTTTCCTGGGGCATGGCAGGATGGGGAGAACTGGCGTGTGGCTACCTTTTCTTCCCACCTCCTGATCCCTGCCCTCCTGCACAGGGCCTCGTAGGCAGCCAGGAGGGCATTCCTCCTGCCTAGGGCTGTGCCCACCAGTGGGGTCTGCCCTCAGGGAAAGAGGCGAATGCAGCCTTGGGGCCACTTGAATTCCAGGGTCTAGAAGGGGGCACATGGGCTCTGAGTGGTCATGTGACCTCAGCCCTGCGAGCTCCTCCTTTGAGGGAGGGTACGATCAAAAAGGTCCAGGACAGCAGGGTCAGGCCTAGGGTGAGGTTAAGTGAGGCATGGCTCTCAGGATCTCACAGGGTGGGCTGGCTCCTGCCTCATCCTGGTCCTGGCCCTATTGGACAGGGTCTTATTAAGTAAGAAGACCAGAACGAGGCTGGCTTCTCTTTCTGGTCTCTGTGGGGGCTGATATTTACTGTAGCCCATCATGTGAGACAGAGGTGAGATGACAAAAGTAGACCCCCACCCACTCTTCCAGATGCTATAAAGTGCCCCTGGCTACATTTCAAGGGGCTCCACTTTACATCAGCCACCCCCCCCCCCCCCCCCCCCGCCCCTCATGGCAGTCCCCAGACTCATGCTCAGTGGAAAAATAGAGTGATTCATGATTCCCACTCACTGGCCCTCAGAAATTAACTGAGATAAACACAGGGACAAAACTCTAGTGAACAAATGAACTATATTCCAGAACTCTCTCACAGACAGAATTCGCTAAAACAAAGGCAAGCCAAAGCTAATTAGAAAAATGGATGTGTAGGGTCAGGGGAGGTCTGTGGGAGAGGAGCCAGGATACAATCTGTATGCATTTTGGAGAAATCTGGATTGAACTTGTTATGGACAGAATTATGTCTTCCCCAAATGCATGTGTCGAAACCCCAACCCCCAATGTGACTGTATCTGGAGATAGGACCTTTGGGAGGTAATTAAGGTTGAATGAGGTCTTCACTGGTGTCCTTATAAGAAAAGGAAGAGACACCAGCACTCTCTCTCTTTCCTCACAAGCACAGAGAAGAGGCTATATAGGAGGACACAGTCAGAAGGTGGTCATCAGCAAGCCAAGAGGGGAATTCTCACGAGAACCTGACCGTGATGGCACCTTGATCTTGGACTTCCAGGCTCCAGAACTGTGAGAAATAGATTTCTGTTCTTTAAACCATGCAGTCTGTAGTATTCTGTTAGGGCAGCCCACAGCAATTAATATACAATTAAATCACTGTAGGGACGCCTGGGTGGCTCAGTCGGTTAAGCCTCTGACTCTTGATTTCGGCTCAGGTCACGATCTCATTGTGAGATCGAGCCCCAAGACAGGCTCTGCACTAGCAGTGTGGAGCCTGCTTGGGATTCTCTCTCTCTCCCTCTCTCTCTGCCCCTTCCCGTCCTTGCACACATGTGCGTGTGTGCTGTCCCTCACTCTCAAAATAAACAAACTTAAAAAAATAAAAGAGAATCACTGTTGAAGATGCTCATAAAACAGGAGAATAAATAGAAGAGGACGTCCAGGGTGTTGCAGCCTGATGCTGGAGCCCGTGGTTTGGGTTTCCATCACATGATACATGGGAGGCATTTAGGGGAGGCCAGGTCCAGGACCCCTGGAGCTTGGGTTCCGAACTGGCCTTCATCCCTTGTGATTGAGCCCAGCTGTCTCTGACTTTGCGAAGTTCCTATTTTCTCCTCTATGTAACGGGACTAATAACATATGTTCTACATAACTCACAGAGTAGATGGGGAGACCAAGTCAAATGAAATAACCAGAAGGCCTCGGAGATTGTGTGGAGCTAGGCAAAAGTAACAGGTTATTGCTTCTAATCTCTATTGGTACATCTGCCACTTGTCACATTTATTGTCACCATTTATTGAATGTCTCCTTGCTATCGTGCCCCATCTTGAGCCTGGAATACCCAGAACTGAATAGAAGAATAGCACTGTCTTCGAGGGGTTCATGGGCTAGGTGCAGGCAAACACTAAAACACGGCTATTATTATTTGCTGAAAGAGCACAAATATGAAATACTTTGAAAGAGTTTGCTACAATTACTGTACAACCATTTACAGATAGTTGCTTGTTGCCAAGAAAGAACTGATGTGGCAAATGTAGAAATTTCCCACCTACTATCAGCATGTAAGGTTTTAAGAAAACCAATGGAGGCAAATGGTGTTTCGATCATAACCTCAGAAATGTGGTTTCCATACCAACGTATTTGTGCAGAATAAAAAGCCCAAAACAAAATGCTGCCTCTGATTCACAATAAGGCGAGCCTTAGTTGAATCATGTTTTTAGTAGAAAAGACTAAGCCCCCAGCCCCCACAGTGCCTTGCCAAATTGTCTGTGCTCCCGTACACATACGTGCAAGCACACAATGGGAGGTAAACTGGGGCCCTTAGAGGGATCAGATCAGGCTCTCTGTGGAATCCTGGGTTCTAACCCTGGCCTATCACTTTACATGTCTGGGTCTCAGTTTCCTTGTCTGTATAGGAGGAGTGATTCTGTCTCATTACTTTTATTGTCATGGAACTGAAATTACACCAAAGGTACTAGTATCTTGAAAGAGCAAGTAACAAGAGTAGTCACATAGGTAGTCCAGCCACAGCTTAATCTGGAAGGTCTTTTATGTTCCTAGGAGGTGAGCAGTGTGGCATGAGAAGCCGTGTTTAGTTTTGTGAGGATGATCACTGTGGAGGATCAGGTCCTCCCCAATCTGTCCTGCTAACCCCTGACCATCCCTTCCTCCCTCCCTCTGTCCTCCCTTTTCCTGTCTCCTCTTTCCTCCTTCCCTCCCTTTCCCCTCCATACTCATTCCCTTCATTTTTATTGAATGCTTGTCATATACCAGAATGTGGAGATAAGTATCTCACTATTTCAGCAGAAACTCATAATCATGTGGGGGAGATTAGAGATGTGCACCAATCATTTCAATAAGGGCCAGGTGCAAGGTGCTTCATTCTGGAGCATGAATAAGGTGTGTGGCTGGGTAAGGAGACTGCTTGAGCTGGGCCTTGACTGATGAATGTCAGCAATGAGCTGGGGCAGGGGCGTGGATATGGCCAGGAGGGGAAGAGAGAACAAGGCCATTTGGGACCAAGGGAACAGCATGAAACACCTGATATTTCCTGGGAAGCAAGTAGTTTTGTGATTGTGGACCTAGAACAGGGTCTGACACCTGTGAATAAGTGGCAGCCAAGCCAAGAAGTCCTCCTTTGTCTGATGAGAAGTGTGGGGGGAGCTTCTGAGACCGTTAAAGCAGGAGAGAGTCACAGTTGTGTATAATGGAGAGATTACCCTGGAGGAGATACGCAGGTGGGCTTTGAGGGGAACTGCGGCATACTAATATAACCATTAGTGTAGGGTCTCAAACTCCTTTTAAAGATAAAATCTTTATTTGGAGCCCTTAAATATTTGAGACAAAGCAGTGTTTTATTAGCATGCATTCATTTTATAATTCCACATTGCCGATACCTATGTAGGATAAAATCAGTCAGTGTGAACAGTGATGCCATTTTGATGAGCATCAGCAGTTGAAGTCAGGAACCATGCATCAAATTACAGAGTTATATTCATTTCACGACCCAGCTTAATTCCAGATTTTGGTTTCAGTTGCATAGCACCAAGGAATCCTGACTTAACACAGTTAAGTCATTGCTAATAGCAATGGGGTTTGCACAGCTTGACTTTTAGTCTCAGGGCATGCTTTAATTAAAAGAGGAAAACTTCATTCAGAGGTCTGTATAAAAATGAGTTAATCTCGTATCCTAAGTTAATGGGGTGGTGGTCTCCAAGTACCAAAATTGGGCATGTTACACATTTTCGTAATGGTCTAGATGGCTAAAATATGTTTTAAACGAAATGTAAATCAAATATTTGAGAACCCCTATGCCACTTGCAGAAGGTGAAGGCATGAGTGAAGGGTATTATGTGGTTTGTTTGTGTTGATCCTGCCATGGCCGAAGTTGGGCAATTAGGGTTACGTTAATACATGCTTCTTCAGTTGGATGTTGATGGGGACTTCTCTCAAAACTGGCAGGAGCAGTGCAGTGGGGTAGCTACATTGGGTTCATCTTCCCTATAGACAGCGTGTGGCACTTCTATAATCTTGGTACCTTTGTGACCTATGATTTGTGGGAGTTGGGAGAACCCAAGCAAAACATCAGGGTATTGAGAGACCTTATATTCATTTGCAAACTTCTACCTGTGTATGCTCAGGGAACTCACCAAGTACAAAAGCACCCCCCTCTACCCTCCAAGAAGAAACTGATAACAAATCCTTTTACTGAATACCTGCTATGTGCTGCGCACTGTTTTATGCAGTTTATATGTACCAACACTGTTAACATTTGCAGCAGTCCTATGAGATGATTGCTCTTATTTTCTCCATTTTAAAGACGAGGAAATTGAGGCACAAAGAGGTTAAGCGTCTTGCCCAAGATCACACAGTTAGGAAGTGACAGAGCTGGGATTTGAATCCGTAGCCTGGAGCCTGCGTACCTAATCACTATGCTGTCTTGTGCCTCTTCAAGGTAAGAATTTACATTAGACCTCTGAGGTCACATATCTTTTCATTGGAATGAGCATTGCATTTGTCCCTTAATTTTCCCCAGGAATATCCTCAGTGCCGGTCATAGCACGTAGGTTCTTCTGCTGATGTTGAGGATGGGCTTTCAGTGGAAATTGTGCAATGGGCAGTGTAGGTGGGGAAAGGGACTTCACACATATGTGAACTTTTTGGAAAAGTATTCTTTGGAGGTGGGCTTGGGCCCTCCATGGTCTGGATTCATGATGCTAATATGAAGCATCAGGTATCGTGAAGTCAGGAAATAATGCTAGGGGGTCTGTGAGCCACACAGCCTCTGTTTCTCTGTCAACTGCAGGATCCAAGGTACCAAGAGGGTGGGACAGACCCAGTACAGAGAGGGTGGTGGGAAGCTGAGGCTTGGGGTGACCTGTGTTCCCGGCTCCCAGGTCTGCCTCAGATCCACCCTTTTCTGGCATTGGTCCTTCCAAGTGAAGAGAAGCAGCCGGTTAAGCCTGCACTGAATGTAGGAGGTTGAAAAGCTTAAGAGGAGACTGTAATGAGAGTAAGTTGGCAAAGCAGCTAAATTGATAGGAAACAGCAGGGTGGGATCAGCCATCGCAAAACCAGTCTATTAAGAGAAGGTCCCAAGAGGCCAGGATGGCTTTTTCTCCAGAATAAATGCTGAGCTGAGCAGACTGAATAAATGAAGGCACATCAGTCAGGGCTGCACGGATGGGCAGGAGCAGCACCCTCTAGAGTCAGGTCATGGTCAGGGTGGCCTCTGACCTGTTTGCCGGATCTCAAAGTTGAAGTTGGAAAGAGTTTATTTCAGCATCAACAAAAGGAATCTCCTGTTGGGAGAGCTTGTAATCTGTGGTGTGAGCACCAGGGAATGGATATACCATCAAGGAAGGATTTAATGAGTTCTTGGAGTGTGCAGAGCAGAAGGCCTGGGGAGGGGTATAGAGAGGTTCAGGGAAGCTGCTTGACCTTGTGGAATGGCCACCGGGAAGTTCAGCCTCCCCGGGCTCCTGGTGGCACTGTGCAGCCAAGTGAACACAGACCATGATTGCTACCTGACCTTTGAGGGCCTCTGCTCAGGTATCCGTGGGCTGTCCCCACCCCTGGGTTAGTCTGAGCACCGTGCTCAGAGATCTCACAGGCCTGCTCACAGCCCACAAACCTCAGGGTGTCAACTCCTGGGGATCACACCGAGCTCAGGTCTCTCCGTGAGCAGGGAGCTGGTTCCAACGCAACCACAGCTCTGAGAACAAGTGTGTGGTCTCTTTCCATGTGGCCAAACCACTGCTCCTGGCTGAAAAGAGCAGGGAGGGAACCACTGCTTGTGGGACACCGCCTTTGTATCAAGTACTGAGCCATGCTAAGTACCTTGGTTCACAGAATTTGTACAAAACTGCTTCGAGGAGGTAGCCTGTTCTTTGTGTAAACGAAACTGAGGCTCAGCTATGTTAACACACACAAGTTCACACACCTGGAGAAGGTGGGGATGGGGTTCAACTACACATTTTTTTGGGTTCCAAAAATCTGTGGTCTTTGCACTAGCCCTGCCTCCTGAGCAAAAGACAAGAAACTCACCGCTTTCAGTGACGCCCAGGAGTGGCCACCATGGTGTCTCCCGGCAGGGCTCGAGCCAAAATGTTCCCCATGGGACTCGCAGACTCTCAGCTTTTGCCCTTGGGCAAGTTATTTGACTTTTTTGAGCCTCAGTGTCCAACTCGGGTACGACAGAAATAATATGCTCCCCTTCCCCTTGGAGGGTTGTGAGATAGATGAAAGCAAGTATGCAGAAGCCGTCGTCACGGTCAAGGACACATTTGGTGACAGAACAATCAGCACTCAAGTGTCCAGTGAGTTCACTCTCCTCTTCCCCATTATGTGCCCCTGGGGATCTCTGGCACAGCACTGATCTCCAAACATTCTGGGCTTGAACGGATGAAGATCTCACTGTTCAGCCAAGAAGTCATTTATAATTCCTCTCGGGGTCTGGTCACTGTGGGGCAGAATTGGGGGACAATCCATCTAAAGGCAAAACTTTCTTTTGTGCTGGCACCAGAAAGGAAGTAAGTCATCTTTGGATTCGAGGCCTGGGTAGCCAGCCAAGTCCAGGGAAGGGTGGAAGATGCCCAGGCCGGAGGGGAGGGCAGGCCCGGAGTCGTTACCTGGGATGAGGATGGTGGCTCCTGCCAGAACCCCAGGCGCTTCAGGTCCTTTAAGACTTGGGTGGGAGCAGAAGGGCAGTGCTGGTAAATGCGAGAGGGCACTTCCGGGAAGGCCTACGGGGCTCGGCTTAGCTCTGCAATGGAGGCCGGGTGGTTTTGGGGCCCTGGCTCCCCAGCTGTCCCATTTCTGTCCTCCTTGCAGGACCCCACTGACATTGCCCCTCTCTTCAAACACTTCCTGCTCTGAAGAGCCCTCATGCATCCTTAGAACATCCCTCTCCTGCCACCTGTCTCTCAGGCCTGTTCCTCACTGCCTGTCAGGGATAGGACACCATCTGATCAGGCCCTCCCACACCCACCTTGGGTGCCTTCAGAGACAGAAATGCTTCTCCTATGCTGCTTGTCTCTTCCGTGAGCATCCACTGAACATCTGCTGTGTGCCAGGCACATGGGAGCGTGCTACATGAATTGGCACTTGTGCTAATCATACCTTTTTATTTTCTGATGCTTTGATGCCTTAGGCCTCAGTGACTCTGGAGGGACTGGCCCTCCCAGGGCTCGCTAGTTCTTATGGAGAGTAAAGGACTCCCCTGCAAGGGCACCTTCCATATGCAGACCAACCAATCCAGAGCCCAGACTCCCAGCCACCTGCTTTATTGGGCTCTCAGGGGGCCACTAATCACCCCTGGGTTGGGCGCCACGCAGCTAGGGCAGCCCCTATACCCAGCTCAGTGAATGGAATCATCCTGCAGCCAGCGCCTAAGCCAGAAACCCAGGGTTATCCCTGGTCCTCCCTCATCAATCCACACAGAGTTCCGTGAACCCGGCCTCCTCCACATCGTCTTCCTCTTCTTCCTCCTCCATGCCCCTTCCTTCACACTCTCAGCATCTCCCCTCAGGCTTTCGGCTCCAGTCCTCCACACCTGGTCCTCCCACTGCATCACCACCACACTGTGACTTTTCCAGATGTACACGGTGCCATCTCAGGTCTGTCTGTGGCTGTCCAGCGTCCTCAGGATGGTGTCGGAACCCCTGGGTCGGGCACACACACCCTCTAGCAGAATGCAGGTCCACCTTCTTCCCTCACTCCATCTCTTGACCCTTTGAGATTCCCATCACCCCAGGGTGCTCCTTCTATGGGGCAGGAGGATGGGATTCACAAGGAAACTGCAGTCATCACTGGTTCTCCACACTGGATGTGTGTTAGAGTTGCCATGGCAATCACCCTAAAAATACCAACCCATTCCAGAAATTCTGATTCAGTTGCTCCCAGGCTCAGGGTCAGACTTAAAAAAATTTTTTTTGAAAGTTCTCTTATTGATTCTAATGTTGAGGATCAATAAACTCTGTGGTCAAAGCTGCTGAAGGCTGAGGAATGAGCTGGCTTTGCACCAAGGCCTACCATTGAGGTAGGAGTACAGGTAGAACCATCTCAGAATTGACCAAGTCAGTCCTGAACATTCTAGTCCCAGATTAAGGGGATAAGAGACATAACCTGGGGGAGGACGATCACTCTTCTACTTCTACAATATTGAGTTTATGTTGAAGTCAGCACAGTGTAGCTCTAATCAGCTGGAAAACTAAAGTGGGAACCTAAAATGCTAAGATAAGTCTGGATCTAGGATATTCTGGATTCCTCCAGTCACTGAAGTGGCTCAAGTTTACTGCCCTTAGCACATGCAATACTCCCCTCTGTCTCCTTCCTCCACACTTCCACCCCAAACCACTGATGGGGATGCAGATTCCTGTGACCAGAAGTGAGGCCTCCTCAGTCCTGGCCACATGAAGGGCTCATGAAACGTGAATGTTTCTCTTCGTCAAGTTCTGTGTACATGTGTTTCTCTAATTCTACTTGGGCTTCTCCTTCCTGGGTCCATAGACCTCTCTCAGCTCACAGACCTGTAGTTCTTTAGCATGTATCCGAATCACCTGGAGGGATTGTTAAATGCAGACTGTTAGGCCCCACCACCAGAGTTTCTGATTCTGTAGGATTAGGGTGCGGCTTGAGAACTTGTATTTCTAGCAAATTCCTGCGTGGTGCTGATGCTGCTGGTCCTGGCAGCATGTTTTGAGAATTTCTGCTTGAAAGGACAGGCCCTCTTTGGTCTGGATTCTCTGGGTATTAACCCAACTTAGGGAGAACCAAACCCTGGAATATTCCTGGAAATAAAAGATATAAAGCTGTGCACTGCCCTCTCCTCATGGAAACTGTAGCAGACATTTTCCAGGTTTCTTTAGCATCAACTTTAACCACCACAAAATGCAATCCTTGTCCTCCTGACTGTTTCTTTTCTCCTGCTTCTCAGCCTTTTCCTCTTTTCTGGCTCTCATTTTCATCTTTTCAAACATTCCAGGCTGTTTTATGACTTGGCTGTGCCATCACATATGCTGAGTTCTGAGCCTGGAATTTCCTTCCCTTCTCTCTGCCTGTTTTATTTGCCTCTTTTGGTTTGAAGGAACAGGTACTCTCTCAAATTACTTCATTTTATAGGAACTTTATTTTAAAGATCCCAAGAGAGGCAGACCAGATCTCAGGAAGAGCAGGAACAGATGGGCGGTTCTGATTTCAAGGTGTCTGAAGGGATATCAGCCACAGAAATTTGTGTGCATTTCCTCCAATGTTTGGCCACTAAGTGACTCAGCAACTCTGGGCATCTGCTCTTAACTCTGCTCTCTTCCAACTAATATATGCTTCCCCAATATGTTTTGGTTTTTTTTTCCATCCAGTTTATAGCTTCTGCTTGCTCTTCCTCATCTTATGTAGTTTCTGTTTCCTTATAACTATGGCTTGAGCCATGGCTCAAATTCTGCCTCATTGACAATC